TTACCTTCCTCTGAGCTCCTTCAGAAAATTTCGTGGGTAGCTGAACTATGTACAAAGTTCAGGCCTCTTCCAAAAACTACTCACCCCTGGAGAGGCTTTAGCCAACATTAAGTGTGACTGTCTGATCAAGTTCTTATGCCTAGCAATGAGCTTTGCTACCTTAATGGAAATGCTCTCACTTAGAGAACTCATTATGCCATTAAGGAAGCCCATTTCTTTTAAGGTTTTCTTCATTTGGGATTTTTTCCCTAGTAAATGTCTATGATCAGATACTAAAGAATTTTAACAATGTCTTTAAAATGCAGTTTTTAATATAGTTCATTCTTACCAAGATTTATTAACTGAGCTATTCATAAATAAAATATCTTACTTGGTTTGGTTATGTGTTTCTATGTTAACAAATGAGAGCTGAAGTCATCCATCCAAGGAGGTAATATTAATGCAAAAAGTTCAAATATAAGCAGAATCAGTACTAAACCCAAGATAAACTGATTATCAACCCAGCATTCATGCTTGAGACTGGATAAAGAAGCGGAGCAAGCACAGAGTTGAGTTCCTGCTCACAACAGACCAGCTGTCTAATGTCTGCAATCAGATCATTTTGCCTCAAATCCCAGCTCCATCTCCTGTTAACTGTGGAACATAAGATTTCACATGACCTCTTTGCTTTGGTTACCGATTCACAAAGCAATGACGACAATTATTTCTGTTCTATAGAGCTGCTGTGAGAACTGTCAGCAGCATGTGTACAGTGCTTGGAAATGTTCTTGATATATTGCTGTTCTTGCTATCATCATCATCATCATGATCATGACCAACTGGCTTTGAACTTGTAATCCTCTTGCCTCAAACCTCTGAGTACTGGGATTATAGATACACACCACCACACTTAGCTTATTTATTACTACCATCATCTGGCTAGTTTAAGGACCTATCTTTTTTAATTTCTCCAAAGATTTACAAGTACCCAATGTATTTTTTCAATTAAAAACAAATCCAGGGATCTCTAAAGAAACGACTGAATCAAAATCTAAGGCAGAGTCAGAAAGTTGGGTTATGCTCAGAAATGAATTAATGGTGTTATATGAAAAGAGCAGGAAAAGAGCAAGTAAAGAGATTTCCATGCTAGAACAATATGTTGTTCTTATGAACTGTTAAAATTTTGTATATGGGGCCTTTGAGCATTCATTTATTCTAATCAGCAAATACCCATTATATGTCTTTATTATTTAATACCTGCTTTAAAACATCTATACAATTGTATGGCTAAGTCAAGCTAACTAACATGCATTGCCTCACATAGTTAACATTGTGTTATGGTGTGAGCACTTCAAGTCAACTGTCTGTCTGTCTTCTATCAATCTGTCTGTCTGCCTGTCCATCTGTCCATCTATCCGTCTCTACGCCTATCACGAGACAGGATTTCTCTGTGTAATAGTTCTGGCTGTCCTGAAACTCACTCTGTAGACCTGGCTGGCCTTGCGCTCATAGAATCCACCTGCCTCTGCCTCCATGGAATTAAAGGCATTTGCCACCACTGCCCAGTGGCAGGTACCCTGTACTTTCAACATTAAAATGAAGCCATACTATGGCCACATTGAAAAGACACTCATAATTTAGGCATTTCTTATGAATGCACACATTTAAAAAAAAACTATGAAGCTGGCATAAATCTTTATGAGGAAAAATGATCATCCAGTCACTGGCTCGCTTCCATGTCAGTGTTTTGAAATGAATTTAATGTAGTCAAAACAGTGTGTGTATGATGGTGTGTAAACAATGTGACCAGAGCAAGAAATCTTAGGATTGTTTAGGAAACATGAATAGGCTGAACTCTTAGGAACCATTTTTGCTAAAATTAGCTTCTGCCACACTTGTTCCATTGTTATTTGGTAAATGTCTGTCTTCAATGAGGATCAGAAATAAATTCTAGGAAAATAAATTTTCATACATGTGATAAACACAATCAACACAGTTATAGATACATACCACCACACTTAGCTTATTTATTGCTACAATCAACCAAGCATTGATACGTTTCATATGGGGGATTCTTTCCAGAACCATTTACAAATGTGTTGACTATTTAAAATCAATGTTTAGAAATCTACTGACTAAGACATTTGGACACCAACACATCATCACTCATAGGAAACTACTGTTCACAGATGAAAGTTATTTTTCTTCAGTCAAAATGAGAAAGTATCTAGCTTTTTAAAAAAAAGTTTTATGACAATCCAATTATTTAGATACTTGTCAAGTCTTCCAGGAATTGCTCCTTTTTATGACTTTTTCCTGTCATGTGGCTACAGCAGTCCTTTAACAAAAGACCTGGTCTTGCTATTGAACAGAAGAAATCCCTCTTCCTAAAATATGATTTTCCTAAAAGTCTCTCAAAAATCAGTCAGAAATTTCTAAAATTCTACAATTTCAACTCTAAACATGTATTCTAATAAAACCGAATAATCACCAATGAGAATGTTCATTATACTTTGTCTCGACATCAAAATTGTGGAAACAGTGTAAATGTCCAACATTAGGAAAGTAGTTATGGTGTGTTAGTGCCATGTGCCACCTGCTGGCCAGTACTTGTCCCTATGGAGGGCACTGACAATTACTCTTTTACTATTGATTTTTAATTAGTTTTGTTTATTGATTTATTTTAAAAAGTTGTTTTATGTATGTGGGTACTTAGTGTAACTAAATATATACTACATGCATACCTGATTCTGGCATACATTGAAAGAGGGGGTCAGATTCACTGGAACTCCAGTTCCAATTGATTGTGAGTCACCCTGTGTATGCCCAGAATCAAATCTGATTCTCTACCAGAGCAGCCAGTGCTCTGAATCACTGAACCATTTCTCCAGCCCATATTTACTTATTTTTAAAATTTTATTTTTTATTTTTATGTATGTGTAGACATGTGTGTTGTGTGTGTTTGCCATGCATGTGCAGATGCTGGAGGAACCTGAACAAAGTGTCACATCTCCGGGGCTGGAGTTACTGATGTGGGTGCCAGGAACAGAACTTAGTCCTTTGAAAGAGAGGCATGAGCTCCTGGCTACTCAGTTTGACAATGTACACTTTAGAATATTATAAAATGATCCCACTGTGTTATTTTTATATATAGATAAGAAGTTACTAGTCATGATTGTTTTGAGAATGATTCTAAGTTTGTCTTAATCATCTTCTTTATGCTTATCAGCGTTAGAAATTCTTCTTTCTTTCTTCTTACTCTTTTTTTTTTCAGTATTATGGGTTTAGCACAGCTCTTCACCCATGCCTGTCTAATGCTTTACCAATTCTCCTATTCTCCCACATTAACAAATCTTTTTTTAGAAAAGATTTGCATTGTCTCCTATTATGTATGTAGTAACAATTACACATACATAATTACGTGTAATTATGACACATATGTACATTTGGGTATAGGTCACAACAAAGGTAAAATCCGGTCCCAGCGTCATGGGGATGACTGTAGAACATCCTATAGATTGGAAATGATGTGCTAATTTTTTTAAAATAGTCAGTAAAATATATTGGGCTAGATACTCAAGAAAAGCACATCTATGAAAACTCTTCACGTGGAGTTTATACTGAAATGAGACATGGCTGAAGCTGAGGCTGCCTCCAGACCTCATCATGGATATCAGGCTTCCCTAAAACCCAGGCTAGTAGGTCCTAGGCTTGGGCCCAGACTTTCTCCAGAAGAACAACACTTTAATAGTTGGAATTTTATTCCTTAAATTCACTAAACTCAGCTGGTGGGTTTGACATAGTCTGTCATTTTTTTTTTTTTTTTTTTTTTTTTTTTTTGGTTTTTCGAGACAGGGTTTCTCTGTGTAGCTTTGCGCCTTTCCTGGGACTCACTTGGTAGCCCAGGCTGGCCTCGAACTCACAGAGATCCGCCTGGCTCTGCCTCCCGAGTGCTGGGATTAAAGGCGTGCGCCACCACCGCCCGGCTTAGTCTGTCATTTTTACTGGAGCTCCAGCTACATTGAAGCTCACACTGTTGACAAGGGTTCCCTTTGCCTTATGATGGCTTCTGCTGGATCCTTCCTGTGGAAGGTGCTTCCATCCACACCCCAGGACCAAAGTCAGCCTACTTTTAAAGGATGTTTGAAAACTTCCTAACCCAGGAAGCCTGTTCTCCTCAAGCCCCAAAAGACTCTTCCCTTTTCTTGTCTTTCACTCTAAGACCTACAAACAACAGTTAATTTACACCATCAGAATTTTAGAACATGGCGCTCACTGGCACTCACTGCTGCCCTTGATGTTTTCTACATTTTCTTTCTTTAAATTCAATTCTGTTGTTATTTATTTATTTTTATTTTTGAGATCACAATTTAATTACAGTGTTTCTCCCTTCCCTTTCCTCCCTCTAAAGTATAAAATCTAAACTCTTTCATAGACCCCTCCCTTCCACACTCTCCTTCAAATTCATGGCCTCACTTTTCATTGTGTGTGTGTGTGTGTGTGTGTATGTGTGTGTGTGTGTATGTGTGTGTGTGTGTTTCTAAATATAACCTGTTGTTTTTACATTCTTTTGAACACATCTGAGACATAGAAATGAGTAATTCAATAAGCATTAATTTTGTTAGTTCACGTAATTTAATCTGTAATATACCTACTTCTTCTACTGGATCATAACATTTCCTAGCAGAAGGTAAAATCTCCCACTTCCATCTTTATACACGGAGGCCAGCACTCAATGTTCAGCATGGATGTATTGTTATGAAGCTACAGAGAGCTGAAACACAGATTCCCAGAAACCTGTCCCTGAGAGAAGAACCCACTTAAGGGGCCTCTGTGCCTCTGATGAGGGTCTCAAGGACACACAGAAGTCACAACCATGTACCATGAGCAATTTTATTATTGTTGAACTGAAAGGGTGGGCAGGAGAAGTAGGAAGAGATGGGGAAGTAGGGGAAGGCCTGGACTTCCTGGTGGAATTCATAGTTTGGGTGGGGAGAAGGTTATTATCTGTACCCAGTCACTTAGCACTCTTCCTCTTTGCAGTGATAGGTGGTACCACCTCTGAGGCAGCGGGGCCGTACGAGGTGAGTCCTCCTGCGTCCAGCAGTGTTCTGAAGCTCTGGCCTTTGGGAGTGGGAAGAACAGCTTCTTGCTGAACAAGAAATCCCACAAGAAGTTGAGCAGGTAGTCAGACAGGGGTCTGGGCATTGGGCAGGTGAACATTTGGGAGCATTTGGGAGCTCCTGAGGCTGTTGCTTCTGCTGTGACATTGCTCAGCTAATGCTTCAAATCTGTAAGAAAGAGAACATACTGTTATATCAGAGACTAGGAAGCACAGGCCAGTTTTCTCAGGTGCTGAGACTACCATCATTGGAGCCAGCATTAACAGCTCAGAGAAGCCTATCCCAAGAGGAAGAACAGTGGATTCTAAAGGGTTGGACTCATCGGGCGTAAATTCTGATGAGAATTTCTAAGAATTTGTCAATAATCAAGTTAATAACTCATGCCCCTCCTATAAAAGGAAAGTAAAATTTAACTTGTTGAACTAGCAGGACAACAAGGCTGATGTCTGCCATCGTCAAGGGTAAAGAACAACCACATGTCGGTCCTTTCGTTACTTGGCTCCTGACCTCAGTTTTCTAAGCCTACATGGTGTCTCTACTGTTTTTCTGCTCTCTGGCCTCCATTGGTTTGTCCCATATTAGATCATTTCAGAGTTCTTGGCATGGATTTCCAGCTTTTCCCTTTTCCCTGCTACAGATCTTTCCTACTTGGTTTATTAATTTGCTGGGGGAGACACTAGGGGATGCCAAGACTTCCTTAGCAAAGTGTGAGTGAGTGACACCCAATTGTCTGTTCACCCAAAAGCAGCCTTACCTTCAAGGAAGATGAGTAGACAAGCCACCCCAGGAGGAGCCTGAGGTTTTGTGGGACCAGGACCGAAGGTGCTTCTTTATACATCCTCCAGCTGAAGCCTCCAGGCTACTTGTTATTGGAGGGCAGTCATGGAGTGGATGATCTAGCCAGGTGTTTCATAATTCCCAGGGCAGGATTTCTCATCTGTCTACACCTGGGATGAATTTCAAAAGGAATTCCGTGTAAGCAAATGATGAAAAAGCTGAGGGCTTAGGCTGGCTTGTAGAGAAGTGAGTACACCACACAAATCCTATGAGATGAGACAGGATGGGAGACTAGAAAAGGACTTCTTCTGCATTTAGTTTAGGATGGAAGAGGGAAGATCGCCTTCAATCTGTGACCAGAGTCTGAGGAAGACCCTGCTTGTATCCTGGTACCTATGACTGAACATCCAGCTCAGCACCATGCTCTCCATGGGACTTACCTAGTTTTATAGTCATATCAGAGTCCCAGGTCCTCTGAACTCAGATTTACAGCTATCCCAGGTCATAGTGACCTAGATACATATCTTATCTCCTCCAGTAAACTGAATGACAGAGCCTTGTCATTATCACTTCTGCATTCCTAGAGCCTGATACTATTTCCAACATATGCCAAAAATGCTCATTAATGTTTGATGAAGAGCTTAATCTACTCTATTTTAGAGCAAAGCTTGTATCCCAAGGGAACAAAAGCAGGGAAATAAGACCCAGCTCATTTCTCTTTGTAGTTAGATTTTTATTTTTATTTTTATTCCCTTTTTGTGAACACCCTTTCCAAATCTGTGGGTGGACTTTGCCTGGCACAACAGACTGAGAGTAGGGAGGAGAGAAAACATTCATAAATGCCCATCTTTAAATACAATTGAGGATCTGTGTGTTGATCAAGACACTCCATGGAAAAGCCTTTTACAAAGCAAAAGTTTTTCTTCATCTTTTGTGAAAATTGATATTATCCCATATTTTCCTTGTTAGGGTGAAAAATCTTCTCATCTAAATATTGTTTCTCACTTCCAGGTGTTTCCATCTGGGAATCACTGTTGATGTGCACATTTCATTAAAAAGTGATGATGATCTTGGCAGTATGGGCCAGGCCTTGCTGCCTCTAACCATCCCTAAAAACATACTATAATGTAGAAACAGCTGACTAAGTGAGAAAAGATGAAATTTGATTGTAGGAGAAGTTCTCAAAGACCCCAAATCAGACTGGGGACAAAGGTGGACATGATTGGGATATGGAATAAGGAATAAGGGTCCTAACCAGGGTAGAAAACAGAACAAAATAGAAAGAATTGCTTATGGAGGGCTAAACCCAGGGATACACTCACCTTTTACCTCTGAGAAGGTTTGGGGATGTAGAATGGATGAAGGGAATTTAAAATACTTGTGAAAACACAGCAGGTAGGAGAATGGTCTGATCTACGTCATCCCATAAAGAGAGGGCCCTAGAAAGAGTGCATCTAGTTGACATGATCTCAGTGATTAAACAACATCTTCCTTCACTTGTGTGCCTTTCTTCCCTCTCACCCTCTTAGGCACCAGACAAGCCTCTGGCTGCTCCTTGGCATGCTTCCTGTGCACTGAACCATAGTGGGAAGGCAGCATGAGTCTGATCCCACTGTATTGCTTTTCCTTTTCCCCAACCCAGACCTGTAGCATGTAATTTCCCACTATGGAGACCTCACATGCCACAAAAGCATTTATTTGAACTTAACCAATAATTCATTTTTTATGGTCCTTATATAAGGACTATGAGTTTTTTTCCTGGGGTTTCTGCCAAGAGTATTCTGCCCAGGATGAATTAAGTATACCTGCCTACTTCGTGTATTTTCCATCCTGTGCGTTATAGTAGAAACCACCCATAGGAATCTCTAAGTGCAGTCAGTTTTTATCACAGGGAGTCTTATCAACATGTAGGGTACCGTGGGGATTGATTCTAGAAGGGTTTGCACTTGCAGTAGAGGATGTTGATCTAGGTTTTCCTAGTCGCTAGGGAGCCTCCTCAAGTTGTTCTCTCCTCAAATGAACTTACACATCTAGCCACTTGTACATCAGGACCCCAGAAATTTATTGTTCTTAAATTTCAGCTCCTCCTCTCATTCTGGTTCAGGTGTTTAAGAGTAGAATTTTATATTTTGATCGTAATAAAATACCTACTATGAACATGATGCAAGAAAGCACAGACCCTCCTACCTCATGCTTTAATGAGTTCTCCAAGAAAGAGAAGTGTAGCTAGAGTTTTTCAGTCCTGCCCTGGCCCACGGTCAGGACAAATCTCTCTCACCTGCCAGTCCCACAGCTGCTCAGACCCAACTGAGTAAACACACAGAGACTTACATTGCTTACAAACTGTATGGCCGCAGCAGGCTTCTTGTTATCTAATTCTTATATCTTAAATTAACCCATTTCTATTAATCTATAAGTTGCCACATGGCTTACTGGTATCTTTTACATGTTGCTTGTCATGGCAGCAGCTGGCAGTGTCTCTCCACCTCAGCCTTCCTGTTCCCAGAATTCTCTTCTCCGCTTGTCCCGCCTATACTTCCTGCCTGGCTACTGGCCAATCAGTGTTTTATTTATACAGAGCAAGATCCACAGCAGAGAAGGGATGTATTAGGAAGTGATACCAGATGGTACTGAAAGGGGAGAGGGGAAGCAAAGCGGCAGGCAAGTGCTGCTTAGATTTGAGAGTGTGATTACTTATCACAAGTGTACCTAGTTAGGAAGGTGGTGTCTGGAGAGGTGGCTCTCATCACAGAGCCTAGTCTAGAGACAGGATCCCACCCCAAGAAGTGTCTCTTCTCATTCCTACCCATTCCTTGAGACCATCAAATTTTCCTGAGCAATAAACACCCACAGATTCTGAGTCTCAAATGAAGTTTCTCTGAATCTTACTGCTGTATTTTTCTCTTTTATTTTCTTCTTTTTTTCTGGTTCCCTGAATCTTTTACATATTCATGAAGTAACATCCCAGGTATATTTTAAATGTCTTTTTTATTTTGCCTTATTTTTCCATCCATTGTGATCCCCATACTGTAGCTTCAAACCCTGTCCCTGGTGCTTTATTTCATTATATCTCATATGCTGAGTAAGTGGATTTAAGTAAGTCCACACAGTGAGCCATTTATTTCAGAATAAATCCTGCTCATGTTTTCTTAGGAAGAAGGGCCAAGTGATTTTCCGGACCTGTATTTTCCCTCCAGGTGGTATTGTGTTCAAGCCACCAATGATTGTGTTTTCCCTTTTTGTGGGGAAAAGCAAGTTTTTAATAATCCTATAACATCATGAAGATTGTTTTTAATATAATGTTTTTATTGATTCTTGAGAATTTCATACATTCATACAGTGATAATATTTACTCCCCATCCCTTCTTCTAAATCCTCCTAGATCCATCCTCAACACTCACCTTCCCTACCCTCCCAAATTCATGATCTCTCTCTCTCTCTCTCTCTCTCTCTCTCTCTCTCTCTCTCTCATAACCTACCAAGTTAAAAAAAAAGTGATGGGTGTTGGTGTCGCACTCCTTTAATCCCAGCACTCAGGAGGCAGAGACAAGCAGCAGATCTCTGTGACTTTGAGGCCAGCCTGGTCTACAGAATGAGTTCCAGGACAGGCTCCAAAGTTACACAGAGAAACCCTGTCTCAAAACAACAACGACAACAACTCCCCCCCCCCCCCGAAAAGCAATCAACAAAGTCTGAGGGACCAAAAGAACCAGTATATACAGAGACTATAATATAATATAATATAAAATGGTCATTTTTATGTTTTCTGACTTTAATTTTAATTTTAAAATTTATATTTGTTTTATGTGTATGGGTGCTTTGCTTGCATGTCTGTCTGTACAGTACTTGCATGCCTGGTTCTTGCAGAAACCAGAAGTAGTCCTTGGAAAGCCCTGGAACTAGAGTTATAAATACATGTGAGAATCAGACCCAGTCCCTTCAGAGGAACAGCCAGTGCTCTCAACCACTGAGCCACCTCTCTAGTACCTACTTTTCATTATTAATTAACATGAAAAAATACTATTTCAATATGCCATTTTCAAGAAAAATTTTGTTTAGTTGATTCTCCTCCAGTCTCATCTCTTCTACCCTCCCTTCCTACCTGGTATAACTTCAGAGTCTCCCTTTCACTTTCATATCACATGCGCCCTTTAGCTCCTTCTACCAAGCACCTTTTTTTTTTCACTCTCGTTTTGTCTACCAGTGTTTTAATGCTTCAGGTACATTTATACCCATTTATAGTCATACATTTATACATTACAGACATAGGAGAAGACAACATGCAGTTTTTACCTTTCATTGTTTGGGTTACCTTGTTTAATATAATACTTTCTGGATTCATCTATGTGCCTACAATTTTCATGATTTCA